CTCCTGCTCAGGGAGAAACGGATTCTACTTCCTTTATTCCGGAGTATAGTCCCCTATTTAATACAGAGGGATCGCCAGATCGAATCCTAGACCGTGGCAATATCAGGGTAACACTAATTCTTTTACACACATTAATAAAAAAATACCGGCAGCTAGTGCTTCCCAGCAATTAAACAAATGACGTTGTCAGCCAAACTTATGTTATGGTACAGTTAGTGCGATTTACCAGCGTTGGAAGGTAGTTGTGCTGTTGTCCTATTCCTCTGGGGTGGAGGCGACTCAAACGTAGTGCTGGAGGACGAAGAGATCGGTCTGGCCTTTACCCTCGTGCTGGGCCCAGAATCCTCTGCTTCTAAATCGCTGTCAAAGTCAAAGGCCTCCCCCAAGTCCTCTTGTTCCTGCTGGGGGGCGCCACTGAGCTCACTGCAGATATCATCTGAAGTTACAGTATGACAATTACAGGTTAAATACCTGGAGAGTTGGGCGTTATATACATTAGGAATGTGTCACCGCACACGTTTCCACTGGTTCACAATTTATTTTCTGGGACTTTAACGGAGATTGCGGCACACAAAAAATATCAATATATGTAGGTACTGTCAACTAAGAAAAATCATACATTAAATAATTTCCTGGTTTAGATCATTCCATTTCTCATAAACAGTTGGTCTTACATCCATGTAGTGGGAAATGGTATTAAATATCACAAGGAACGCCAGTGCTGAATGCATGCAGAGAAGGCATTGCAGGACGTGAAGACAGCTATATCAGACTAAAAATAGAACCATTATTTCATCACTGGACAGACTTCTTCAATTATCACTTAAAAACACAATTACACAGCCGCTAACAAGGGAACCGATCAAGACAAACAGAATCCAGGAGTAAAACACACATACAATTCAGTAGGGTTAACACACTTGGGGTGCAGGAATAAACACTCGGGGTGCAGGAATTACACACTCAGGGTGCAAGGATTAACACACTCAGGGTGCAGGGATTACACACACAGGGTGGAGGAATAAACACTCGGGGTGCAGGAATTACACACTCTGGGTGCAGGAATTACACACTCCAGGTACAGGGATTACACACACAGGGTGCAGGGATTACACACAGAGGGTACAGGAATTACAAACTCAGGGTGCATGGATTACACACACGGTACAGGAATTACACACACAGGGTACATAGATTACATACACAGGGTACAGGAATTACACACACAGGGTGCAGAGATTATACACTCAGGGTGCGGGGATTACACACTCAGGGTGCATAGATTACACACACAGGGTACAGGAATTACACACACAGGGTGCATGGATTAACACACAGGGTGCAGGAATTACACACATAGGGTGCAGGAATTACACACACAGGGTATAGGAATACACACAGGGTGCATGGATTACACACACAGGGTGCAGGAATTACACACACAGGGTGCAGGGATTAACACACAGGGTGCAGGAATTACACACATAGGGTGCAGGAATTACACACACAGGGTATAGGAATACACACAGGGTGCATGGATTACACACACAGGGTGCAGGAATTACACACACAGGGTGCAGGGATTAACACACAGGGTGCAGGAATTACACACATAGGGTGCAGGAATTACACACACAGGGTATAGGAATACACACAGGGTGCATGGATTACACACACAGGGTGCAGGAATTACACACACAGGGTGCAGGGATTACACACAGAGGGTACAGGAATTACAAACTCAGGGTGCATGGATTACACACTCAGGGTGCATGGATTACACACACGGTACAGGAATTACACACACAGGGTACAGGAATTAAACACACAGGGTGCAGGAATTACACACACAGGGTGCAGGAATAAACACTCTGGGTGCAGGAATTACACACTTGGGGTGCAAGGATCAACACACTCGGGGTGCAAGGATTAACACACAGGAAGCAGGGATTACACATACCAGGTGCAGGGATTACACACTCCAGGTACAGGTATTGCACACTCAGGGTACAGGGATTACATACACAGGGTGCAGGGATTACACACTCGGGGTGCAGGGATTACACACTTGGGGTACGGGGATTACACACTTTGGGTACGGGGATTACACACCGGATGCAGGGATCACACACTCAGGATGGAGGGATTACACACTCAGGGTGAAGGGATTTCATAGACAGGGTACAGGGCTTACACACATAGGGTGCAGGAATTACACACACAGGGTACAGGGATTACACACATAGGGTGTAGGAATTACACACACAGGGTGCAGGGATTACACACACAGGGTACAGGAATTACACACACAGGGTGCAGGAATTACAAATACAGGGTACAGGAATTACACACCTAGGGTACAGGAATTACACACACAGGGTGCAGGGATTACACACTCAGGGTACATGGATTACACACATAGGGTACAGGAATTACACACACAGGGTGCAGGGATTACACACTCAGGGTACATGGATTACACACACAGGGTACAGGAGTTACACACACAGGGTACAAGAATTACACACACAGGGTGCAGGAATTACACACTCAGGGTACAGAGATTACATAGACAGGGTACAGGATTTACACACATAGGGTGCAGGAATTACACACACAGGGTGCAAGGATTACACACTCAGGGAACTGGGATTACATAGACAGGGTGCAGGAATTACACACTCGGGGTACAGGAATTACACACACAGGGTGCAGGGATTACACTCACAGGGTACAGGGATTAAACACACAGGGTGCAGGGATTATACACTCAGGGTGCAGGGATTATACACATAGGGTGCAGGGATTACACACTCAGGGTGCAGGGATTATACACTCAGGGTACAGGGATTACATAGACAGGGTACAGGGATTATACACACAGGGTGCAGAGATTACACACACAGGGTGCAGGGATTACACACGCAGGATGCAGGGATTACACACACAGGGTACATGAATTACACACACAGGGTGCAGGGATTACACACTCAGGGTACATGGATTACACACACAGGGTACAGGAGTTACACACACAGGGTACAAGAATTACACACACAGGGTGCAGGAATTACACACTCAGGGTACAGAGATTACATAGACAGGGTACAGGATTTACACACATAGGGTGCAGGAATTACACACACAGGGTGCAAGGATTACACACTCAGGGAACTGGGATTACATAGACAGGGTGCAGGAATTGCACACTCGGGGTACAGGAATTACACACACAGGGTGCAGGGATTACACTCACAGGGTACAGGGATTAAACACACAGGGTGCAGGGATTATACACTCAGGGTACAGGGATTATACACATAGGGTGCAGGGATTACACACTCAGGGTGCAGGGATTATACACTCAGGGTACAGGGATTACATAGACAGGGTACAGGGATTATACACACAGGGTGCAGGGATTACACACACAGGGTGCAGGGATTACACACGCAGGATGCAGGGATTACACACACAGGGTACATGAATTACACACACAGGGTGCAGGGATTATACACTCAGGATGCAGGGATTACATACAGAGGGTGCAGGGATTATACACACAGGGTACAGGAATTACACACTCAGGGTGCAGAGATTATACACTCAGGGTGCAGGTATTACACACTCAGGGTGCAGGGATTACACACTCAGGGTACAGGGATTACACACTCAGGGTACAGGGATTACACACACAGGGTGCAGGGATTATACACTCAGGGTGCAGGGATTACACACACAGGGTACAGGTATTACACACTCAGGGTACAGCGATTACACACACAGGATGCAGGGATTATACACTAAGGATGCAGTGAGGAAAAAGAGTATATCTGCAGGAAGTCACACAGAGGATGGGGAGCAGCACTCAGAAAGGTTAATGCAGGGAAAGAAGAGAGCTTTGTTTGTACAGTACCTAGTGATTGGAAGTGAAACCGGGAGCTCTCAGCAGATTCCATCTTTCTCGTAGTTCAGCCTGAAATACATTAACACGGACTAAGAACTCACCCCCTGCCTGAGCATTACCTGGAGGCCTGGCTGCCCTGCTTCCTGACAGCTGTGCCCTTAGGTGTGCCCAGCTCCCAGCCCAGGAAGCCTGGCGCCTGCACCATTGGAAACAACGCAGACCCTGTGTACAGAGCTTAAATGTTAACCATAGACCCCCTCTGTGCCCTTCACCCACCCCTGGCACAAAGCACCTACCTCTATACGGTTTATCTACCGTTCTGGATAGCTCAGAGTTTCACCCCACCCTAAATGCTCAGTCTTACATACACTGTATATGCAACACACTAATCACGGCTGTCACTGCTATGAATCACTGTATCAGGAGTGGCACAAAGGTGGATCCCTATGTGTTACAGGACTACAACACCCATCATGCTTTCCCAGCCTGCAGTTATGCAGTTGATGGGATCTTTCCCTGTTCTACAAGTTCTGTTTGTGAAAGTAGTGACAGCAGTACGTTTTAAATCCCATCCATCCCGAATCTCGAGGAAAATTACAATCCCAGATTGACAATGTTTCGGTTTTCTATTCACTATAATCAGTGTTTAGCAATTAAACCCATTGATTTTGAAATATAATCCAGTATAAACAAATATCAGCGTTATTCACTACATTGAGAACTGTTAGGAATTCACGAGAATGCAAAGTGAATTTCAAGCAGGAAAAATCCTTCAATGCACGCTTTAAATGTGGCTACAGAGTGTTGGATTTAAACTCCCAACAAGTCTCCCGATAGTTAATAACCCTGTTGGGTTAAAACAACCTAGCTCTAAACTGTGTCTATAGTTAGGATTACATTTTTTTTGTAATTCAGATTTAATTTTGGATTTAGCAGTTAACTCTTTTTTAAAAGAGAAATTACGCAACGAGTCTCTCCAGTAAAAAGTACCATCAAGACACCCTACGGAATGCGTACAAAGTATCTGTATTCCGCACCATGTCTGAAACATTGCAGTATTTTTCCAAATGGCTATGGATTGTACGGAACTAAGATTGTTTCATTAAACTGGGGAAATGTGAGTAATGAGAAACAGAACTGCAAATTTAAGGCCACAATAGTCAATGCGGGAAATATTCTCTAACATTTTTCTTCCATTTCAATGGTGTTGGCGTAAAATCCGGGAGGAACAAACAGACCGATAAACAAAGAATGGAGGGGTTAGACACTCGCCTCTTTCAGATAACGGGAAAAGAAGACATAACTCCTGATGGACCGGTAGTGGTTTCTAATTCTGACTGGGTTTTGTTATCGGTGACCCTATGTAGTAAATGTAAGGTAATATTGCAATATGATTTCCTGACAGACAATACACAAAGCAGGGATAATGGAAAAGGTTCCTGAGTGACTGTTATATGAATATGATTTCCTTGGGATCCGTCTGCCAAATATTACGCTGAATACAATAACCTGGCCAGCAGTCAAAATGGTAGGAGACTGGATGCCCCCCCTGGGCTGTGTATTATGTGCTGCCTTAACCCTGCTTTAAATGTGTTTTCAGAGTTAGCCAATAAAGTGTGAAATTAGCCAAACTGAGATTTGTCAGGAATTCAATGTAAATTGCAAAGTAAAGGCCAAAATAGTTCAATAAAAAAAAAATTTTCCAAGTCAGCTCCCAGTTCTGCTAAAATGTCAAATTTTAGACCAAAGTAGTTGAACTGAGAGTTGACGTGGAGAATTTTTTCAAACTATTTTGGCCTTTACTTTGAAATTTACTTTGAATTCCTGACAATTCTCAGCCTTTTTCAGTGTGGCTATGGTGCCCTAATATTTGGAATAAACGTAGAATTGACTTTGCGTTCGCCATTTGCACTGTGTGAGTTCGTAGCACGAATAAAGGAATATTAGCAGTTTAACATGTAAAGGTTCCATAGAGATAGTTTTTCTGATATGCTGCTATGTCTGTCACAAAGGTCACGTCTCCCAGCACCTCACCCAAACTAAAATATCTATAAACTGAGCTGTCTCTCACTCTGCACCTGTTAGCTGAGCTGTCTCACACTGGATCCATAAACTGAGCTGTCTCTCACTCTGCACCTGTTAGCTGAGCTGTCTCACACTGGATCCATAAACTGAGCTGTCTCTCACTCTGCACCTGTTAGCTAAGCTGTCTCACACTGGATCTATAAACTGAGCTGTCTCTCACTCTGTACCTGTTAGCTGAGCAGTCTCACACTGGATCCATAAACTGGAGCTGTCTCTCACTCTGTACCTGTTAGTTAAGCCATCTCACACTGGATCTATAAACTGAGCTGTCTCTCACTCTGTACCTGTTAGTTAAGCCATCTCACACTGGATCTATAAACTGAGCTGTCTCTCACTCTGTACCTGTTAGTTAAGCCATCTCACACTGGATCTATAAACTGAGCTGTCTCTCACTCTGTACCTGTTAGTTAAGCCATCTCACACTGGATCTATAAACTGAGCTGTCTCTTGCTCTGTACCTGTTAGCTGAGCTATCTCACACTGGATCTATAAACTGTACCGGTATAGTAGGCAGTCTCTCGGTGCATCAGTCCGCTGTCTCTCTGGGTACCTGTACAGTAGGCAGTGTTTTAGTGTAACAGTCAGCTGTCTCTCAGAGTACCTATACAGTTGGCAGTCTCTCAGTTCGCTGTCTCTCTGGGTACCTGTACAGTAGGCAGTGTTTTAGTGTAACAGTCAGCTGTCTCTCAGAGTACCTGTACAGTAGGTAGTGTTTTAGTGTAACAGTCCGCTGTCTCTCTGGGTACCTGTACAGTAGGCGGTCTCTCAGTGTATAAGTCCGCTGTCTCTTAGAGTACCTGTACAGTTGGCAGTCTCTCAGTTTGTTGTCTTCCAGAGTACCTGTACATTAGGCAGTCTCTCAGTTTGCTGTCTTCCAGAGTACCTGTACATTAGGCAGCCTCTCAGTTTGCTGTCTCTCAGAGTACCTGTACAGTTGGCAGTCTCTCAGTTTGCTGTCTCCGAGTACCTGTACAGTAGGCAGTCTCTCTCAGTGTATCAGTTCGCTGTCTCTCTGGGTACCTGTACAGTAGGCAGTCTCTCAGTGTACCAATCCGCTGTCGCTCTGGGTACCTATACAGTTGGCAGTCCCTCAGTTTGCTGTCTCTCAGAGTACCTGCACAGTTGGCAGTCTCTCAGTTTGCTCTCTCTCAGAGTTCCTGTACAGTTTGCAGTCTCTCAGTTTGCAGTCTCTCAGAGTACCTGTACAGTAGACAATCTCTCTCAGTGTATCACTTCGCTGTCTCTCAGAGTACCTGTACATTAGGCAGTCTCTCTCAGTGAATCAGTTCAGTGTCTCTCAGAGTACCTGTACAGTAGGCAGTCTCTCTCAGTGTATCAGTTCGCTGTCTCTCAGAGTACCTGTACAGTAGGCTGTCTCTCACAGTGTCTGCAATAAGCTGCACCAATGCTTTGATTCCCATTAGGATTTCCTATGGAAAATGTTCAGAGCAGCCAGTGAGTTCCTGTGCGTGTTACATTGCTACCCTCCAATCATAGTGTGTTATTATTTATATTTATACAGTGAGAGCAAAGCCCCATCGCTGTACGACGCATCCAGCCAGCAGGCATATAAAGTATATAATATAAAATAATGTATATAATATAATGTATATCATGTAATATAGTGCATGTAAAGTATATAATATAATGCATATAAAGTATAGCATATAATATAATGTATATAATATATAATGTATATAATATAATGCATATAATATCATATAATGTATAATGTATATAATAGTAATATATTAAATATAGTAATTCTTGCTGTAATACATATCATATAAAGGCAGATTTTAGATCAGGACAGATAATCCCCCAGATTTATATTTAAACATGTCTACACCAAGATTAGCAACCATCCAAGGCCCCAAAGCCAGCTCTAGCTCTCTGTTATGTATAGCTGTCTCTGTATTTACATGTGAAATTATGCAAATCGCAGACCTTCCTCACCCGCTGAGCATGGCCTACATAGGGCCCAGTGCACATCTCTGAGCTCCTAGAGGGCGGAGTCAGCAAGCGGCTCCCCTTCTGATTGGCTGTTTCCGGTCATGTGACCTGTCTGCGCGGCATTCTCTGAGAGCTGTGTGGGGGTGGGGGCAGTAACCATACACGTTCCATGTCTGGATTCTATGGCGTGCGCCGGATATGACGTCATTAGACATGTCACATGGCTTTCTGAGACGCGTATACACCATAATGGACTGTAAGTAGGCGGGGTGGGCTCTCAGAGGGCTATACTGACAGGTTGGAGGGAATGAGGGATCATGGGGGAGAATGAGGGACTATGGGGGAGAATGAGGGATCATGGGGGACTATAGGGGAGAATGAGGGATCATGGGGGAGAATGAGAGGGATCATGGGGAGAAACGAGGACCATGGGGAGAATGAGGGACCCGCTGGGGAGAACGAGGGATCATGGTAATCATAGGAGAAATTGAGATCATGGGGAGAACGAGGACTAAGTGGGGAGAAATCGAGGGACTGCTGGGGAGAATGAGGACTATGGGGAGAAACGAGGACCATGGGGGAGAATGAGGACTATGGGGAGAATGAGGACTAGCGGGGAGAATGAGGATCATGGCACTATGGGTGAGAATGAGGGACTGGTGGGGAGAACAGCATCATGGGGAGAATGAGGGATCATGGGGACTATGGGAGAAATGAGGACTATGGGGGAGAATGAGGGATCATGGGGAGAATGAGGGACTATGGGGGAGAATGAGAGATCATGGGGGAGCATGGGGGTGAATGAGGGATCATGGGGGTGAATGAGGGACTATGGGGGAGAATGAGATATCATGTGGGACTATGGGGGAGAATGAGGGATCATGGGGGAGAATGAGGGATCATGGGGGAGAATGAGGGACTATGGGGGAGAATGAGGGATCATGGGGGAGAATGAGGGACTATGGGGGAGAATGAGAGATCATGGGGAGAATGAGGGACTATGGGAAGAATGAGGGACTATGGGGGTGAATGAGGGATGTGTGAGGAAGGCTGAACTTGATGGACGCAAGTCTCTTTTCAGCTATGTAACTGTAACAAAATAGAGGGACAGAGGGGAAGTAAAATGGAAGGATACAGATGGAAATTAAAATGGAGGAATATAATTGAGGGCTAGGGAGGGGAAATAAAAAGGGGGATAGAGATTGGAAATAAAATTGAGAGGGGAACAAAATGGAGGAACAGAGAGCGGGAGTAAAATGGAAGGACAGAGAGGGGAAATAAAATGGAGGGATAGAGGTGGGAAATAAAACGAAAGGACAGAGAGGGGAATTAAATGGAGGGACAGAGAGGGGAAATAAAATGGAGGGATAGAGGTGGCAAATAAAATGGAGGGACAGAGAGGGGGAGTAAAATGAAAGGATAGAGAATTCTCATTTTGGCCTGTGGTGGCTTATCTCATAATCCTGGTCTAGCAGTGGTTTATGGGATATGTAGTTTACTCGCAAAGAGCAGTTTGCAATAATCACATAGGGTAAGTGGAACCGGTCTGTATACTGATAGCTCCTTTAGCTTGTCTCAATTTACCTGTAGCCTGCTACACGTTTTAACGAACCGAGCTATTGGGAGCGCCTACAGTCCATGGCTCGGCGAGCTCAGCCCGGTTAGTGCAGGCACTGCACATAAAACTTGGACAAAATATAGATGTAATGCTGTGATGGTGCTCAGAGCAACCTTTTAAAATATATGTTCAAAAAAAGAGCGGTCCTTTTTCATACACACAGGTTGGATAAAAGCGAACGAACGAGCAAGGAGGAACACCGACACCTTCACTGTGTTACAGCCAAGCCACAGTGAGTGTTTTGTTTTTTTCTTTAGATTGCTGCAGTGTTGCGGTATACACCATAACCTGTGCAATGATACCAAATCCTTCTAATAATTAGACCGGTGATTCCCAGAATTGATATTAGACAGGTATCGTAAGATACCTGCATATACTAATTTCTTCCACCATGACCACTTCTAAAAGCAGAAGTGGATTAACCCTTTAATATCCATTTATAGCCCAACCTTACTCTCACTGAACAGGTTTAATATGGTCGCTGTACAAAGGCTCTGCATGGAACCCACTGCCAGCTTCTGGTTAGACAGAGGAGTGAGGTTAAAAGTGCTCAGCAAACACAAATCCCCAACAGGCCTGCGCGTTGACTTTATGTTTATTTGGCTGCTTTGAAAAGCACAGAGCAATCTTAACACAGAAATTGAGAGACCCTGACATCATAATATCCTAACCTGAAGCACAGACAGCACTCGTATGCTGTGCTGTGTGTAAACAAGTTTGGAGGAGCGAGCGGAGAGCGAGCAGATGGCCTTATTGGCAGGCTGTAATAATGCCAGGAGCCAGAGTGTTACTGGGACGTGTGGCTACACGATGCCTAAAATATATCATGATTCATTTTAACCCTTTAACAGTCATGTGCCATCAGGGCTGCAGTTACACCATGTTTTCCTGGAGACATTTCAGATCTACGTACTGACGGGCAACGTATGGAAAGTGGCACCTTGCGTAACATAGGACTCACATGCTCCAGGAGGGGAAATCGGTTCATTGAGGAGAGATGAATCCCAAGCGAACGGCTTTCATTTTGTATTTACCATCTGCTGCATAAGAATGATTGTGCAGAACTTTTCCTGCTCTGCCTGATAGTGCGAAGAACGTGTGCCATCCACCCTCTTTCTCTTATATTAAAAGGTTCGTATTTCTGGTAGCAGAGCCAGGGAACACAAGGATAAAAGAGAATTACAGTATAGTCTTTGTAATACAATGAGGTGACATTATGTTAAAATACATAACATAATTTCTGTGCTGACCTATGATGTACAGGTTTTCATTTATTAAAGATATAGCAAGATACATCCACTTTCAATACTTGTTAATCAGTCAACACCTTTGGCATAGTCCCTGTGACGAGAATTGAGTGACAGTGGAGAGCAGGAGAACCCTCCAATATGGAGTATTCCTACACGTGGCCTTCCTCACGCAAGTCATGCATTGCTATAGAAAATAGGGACAAAGTTACAGATATCTCTCTATTGTGCTCCCAATAAGCTGGCGATGAAGCCATCATGTCAGCGTCATGGTTAACGTGTGCTTGTTTTGGGGAGTTCTCTCCAGACAGGGTCAGTCTGATAGGAGCTGGCTGGTATGGTGGGTGTTACAGTATTAATGCAACCAATCATCCAAGAGGCCGGCAGTGCTCTCTGCGCTCTATTGATTACAAACCCCATCTCTGCAATACAAAGTGTCATTTATCATGATGACTGACAGATTGGCTGCTTGATGAAATGCTATTGTGTAAAATGTCCCATGAGTGTTATGACTTAGAACTAAAATATAGTTTTTACCTTTTTTTCTGTAGGTAACGATAAATACCCATTCACTGCTAGAGGTGAAAACAAATTTCTGAGAAACAACATTTAGAGGTTTGTGTTGAAGCCCAGCGCTAGTGTGCCAGCAGCGCCACACAGTGGAAAGAGTTGGGTATTGATGGTAATATTACAAAGGAGATTGCTTTGTCCTTGTATAGGCAAACACTAATTCCTTTGCACATTTTTCATTATAGCGCCCTATAGGCTGGGAGCACTCTACACCAATACTGTATCTCCCAATACTAGCAGATGTCCTAAAGGGGGGCACAGAGACTCCAAGTGAGTTGCTTAATGCAAGTACAATAAAACTGCAATGAGCTGCTATTCACTGTTCAAATTAACCCCACCACTACCAGGTTATTTATAGATTGTAGCCCCATGTAGCCAAAGTGCAGCTAAGCGGGAAAAGGCCTTGACAGGGGTTAGGAGGCGGGCGGCTTCCCGAGAGGTGGACGGCACGGCTCCCAGTTCGGGGAGGGCAGCGCCTGGAGCGGGGGACATCGACGGCCCCCTGGATTTGAAGATGGTGCGAGGTTGCGGCCCGGGAGGGAGCCCCCTCCACCCATGACGGGGAATGGCGGGGCCAGTATGGAAGGAGCGCACGGCAGGGGCCACTTTGGCGTGGGCAAAACTCTTTGTGGCAGGGTCCGGGGACCGGAGGCTTGGGGGGGTGGTGGTGAGCAGACAGGTCCCTACATGGTCAGGTACAGAGGGGCATGGGGGGGAGCACATGGCAGACCAGGGGTTAAAAAGGGGGGCAAGGGCCGGTAGCCAGGAGTGAAGGAGTGCCATGGGGGCCCTTAGGCCCGGTAGGATAGGGGGGTGGGTTGGCATTGGGTATTGGTAGGAGGTCTAGGTGTGCAGGGCGGTCAGGGCCGATTAGGGATGAGGGGGCAGGGGCTGGTCAGGAGGATCCGAGGAGAGGGGGCTCTTCTAGCCGTGGGGACCACCGGAGTGGGGGTCTTCCAGCACAGGTGAGCTGTTCCAGCGCAGGGTTGGGGTCTAGCAGCAGTAGCCTGTCACCTGTTAGGGTCCGGGCGTGTTAAGGGGAGGACCAGCGCACAAGGTCCTTATCTGGTAGTTCAGGGGGGGACAACGTCATGACCCAGGCATGGGCGACGGGGGCGGGCCTCTGGTAGGGACGGGAGGAGTCGTTGTTCCAGAGGCAAGGCCGCTCGGGCCTTAGGTGGACGGCAGAGAGGGACCACACGGCGGGAGGCTTTAGTGTCTAGCAGGCACTCCCAGGGTCGGGACGGGGGGGCAGCACGGGATCAGTACACCCTGTCCAGGACTACGTGTCGTTTGCGGGTCCGCTGGGAGTTCACCTCTAGCAGGAGGTGGAGGATAAGATCTGGAAATGCAAATTCTGCAAGATCTTTTTTCTTCTCCCTTTGGAAGACTTTGTGCACCTCAAGGAGGAGGATAAGAAAGAGGAGGAGGAGGAAAGGAAGCGGTGTCATAAGATACCAAAGTCTTTTGGTAACTGGCTAAGGGCGTTTTGCGTGTTGGCGAGCGTTCTAGGTGAAAAATCGCCGGGTTTATGCTCTTCCCTGTTTTGTTATTTGGACGGAATTTGGGAGGCGTACTGCACCTATGGCAGACTGGCATGGTGGCGGTGCGATGAGGCAGTGTTTGGTGGCTAATCCGGGTATGAGGTGGGATCAAATGGACCTACCTCTCTGGATGAAGCTGATGATGGCGCAGAAGGCGCAGCCCTTTCAGCCCACGGCCGGTGCAAAGGGGCAGTCCGCCTCGTCGGCCGCCTTGGGTAACACCTTTCGCTTTAAGCACGAGTGCTCAGGCTGCGGAGGCACCCATGGGCTCAACCAGTGTTTCAAGAAAGGAATGTCGAGGCACGCCGGAGTCCCCGCCGCGGTTGGGGGGGGTGGACGGGCCTAACCCTGGTGAGGCTAGACACGATGGAGCCGTGGCTAAGCCGCTACGGTATTGGGGCAGATGCCGCGGTGGTTCGGGCAGGGGTTCTTTATCCCTTTCCGGGACAGGAAAGCTGAGCTTCCGGGAGTGGTGCGGAAAAAACTGAGTAAAGAAGTCATGTTGGGAAGGATGGCGGGCCCGCTCCCGGCGCCGCCGTTGGAGGGCCTAAGGGTTTCCCCGCTCTGGGTGGTCCCCAAGAAGAAACCGGGGAAGTTCAGGCTCATTCACCACCTCTCCTACCCGAAGGGAGAGTCGGTGAATGATGACATTGACAGGGATCTGTGCTCAGTCTCCTATGCATCATTCAACAGGGCGGTCGAGCTGGTAAGGAGGGCTGGGCGCAGGGCACTGATGGCTAAGGTGGATATTAAGGCGGCATTTAGGCTGCTTCCAGTCCACTCAGCGTGTCATCGCCTGCTGGGGTGTTTCTTCGAGGGGGCGTACTTCGTGGATTTATGCCTCCCAATGGGTTGTTCAATCTCATGCTCCTACTTTGAGAAATTCAGTACTTTTCTCGAATGGGTGGTGCGGGTTGAGGCGGGGAGTGGAGCGGTGGTGCACTATCTGGATGATTTTCTCTGTGTGGGGCCGGCGGACTCCCCCGCTTGCCTGCACTTGCTGAGAACGGTCGAGTGGGTAGCGGGCCATTTCGGGGTCCCGCTGGCGGCAGACAAAACGGAAGGCCCGGCTACGTGCCTTAGTTTCCTAGGGCTGGAGATAGACTCTGTGCAAGGGGAGTGTCGGCTGCCGATAGCAAAGCTGCAGAGGCTGAAAGGGGAGGTGGCAGCGGTGGCACAGGCGCACAAGGTCCCCCTGCGACAGCTGCAGTCATTGATCGGGATGCAAAATTTTGCATGCCGGGTGATCCCAATGGGTAGGGTCTTCAGCCGTTGCTTGTCGGCAGCGACGGCGGGGGTGCGATCCCCACGCCATTTCATACTGGTATCGTCAGCCATGAGAGCCAACTTGGCCATATGGGATGCCTTCCTGCGGGATTTCAATGGGACGGTGTTCTTTTTGCAGGAAGGCGTGTCGGTGGCAGAACTGTAGCTGTTCACCGACGCGTCAGGTAGCATAGGCTTCGGGGCCTTCTTCGGGGGTAGATGGTGTGCGGAGCGGTGGCCGGAGGAGTGGGGACCGAGCCCCCTCATGCATAACCTGGCTTTCTTGGAACTGTTCCTGCTAGTCGTGGTGATGGCTCTGTGGGGGGAAGGGCTGCAGGACCGAAAGGTGGTCTTTTTCTCGGACAACATGGCCGTGGTGCATGCAGTGAATAATCAATCGGCGGCTTCGAAGCACGTGGTCAGGTTGCTGCGGCGCTTCGTTTTAATGTGCATGTCGCTAAATGTAGTTTTTCGCGCACGCCATGTGCCTGGGTTCATGAACGAAGTGGCTGGCACTCTATCTCGTTTTCAGTGGTCCCGATTCCGTACTGTGGCGCCGGAAGCACAGGAAGCAGAGCAGGCGTGCCCGGACAAGATATGGCGGCTAGGTGCGTCCTGCTTGGGGGACTTGTGAAGGTTTCGCTGGCACCGGCCACATGGGCCGCATACAGTAAGGTCTGGGAGTCATGGGAACGATCATGGGAAGGGCTGGACCGCGTACCGGTGGGGGAATCGCTCACGGACGCGTTTCTCTGGTACACCTGTCAATTTCTGGCAAGGGGGCGTCCCCAGCGGTGGTTGACAGGTCCATGGTGGCGATGGCTTTCTGGTTTAAGCTACATGGGAAGGAGGATATTACTAAGACCTTTGTCATTAAGCAGGCATTAAAAGGGTATCGGAGGGGCCGCAGGCTTCCTGACACTAGACGCCCGGTATCGGTGCGAGTGTTAGGGGATCTGGTCAGATTGTTGCCAGAAATTTGCTTTGACAGGTTCGAAGCATCGCTGTTCCAGGCAGCTTTTTTGTGGGCTTTTTTCTGAGCTTTCCGGTTAGGAGAGTTGGTGAGTGCCACGCGAGCGGCGGCCGGGGGCCTACAGGTGTCGGGGGGTCCGAGTGCTGGAGGGGAAATTGGTTGTACACCTGGCAAAATCCAAGACGGACGTAACGGGCATGGGCCGGGACGTGACACTACGGGCCCTGCCGGGCTCCGCTCTGTGGTACACGCAGACGGGTCTTCCCTCACCCAGTTTTTCGGTCGGGCCTGGGGAAGATGGGACTGCAGGCGGATAAGTTTGGTACACACTCCTTTCGCATTGGGTCGGCCACGGAGGCAACGCGGTTGGGTCTGGGGGGTGACATAGTAAAGCGGATTGGGAGATGGGAGTTGGGAGTCAGTGCGGTTCCGTTCGTATGTGCGCCTGGGTTTATTGGATTAATAAGGTGGGGGCCTTCGGGGGGATCCCAGGGGGGCTGAAAGCGAAAGGAGGGGTTTTACGATCTGTTTTCTTCTCTTCCCCAGGCCGTGTCGCATGGATCGTGGGCCATTCATTTGTCTTCTGGGCTGAAAGGAGGGCTGCAGCTCGAGCTCAGGGCCACCAGCTGGGCTTTCCTAGGGACCAGTTGGCGGTGCAATGGTTTAGGTACAGGGGTTTTTGTTGGGGGGAGGTCTGCGGGGATGGTGGCAGGCGGGCAAAGGCTAGACCTGCTGGTACTCCATGCGGGAGGCAGCGACTTAGGCCTAACACCACAACGGCGGCTGGTGAAGTGGATGAAACAGGACCTTAACAATCTAAGGGACCTGCTTCCTGGGGTGATGTTGGTATGGTCGGAAATTGTCCCGAGGAGGCGGTGGCGGAACAGGACCCGGCAGGTGTAGAAAGAAAGTGAATAGCTTGATGGCAAGCTTTGTGAGGAAATTAGGGGGGGTGGTAGTACAGCACAGCGAGTTGGTGTACTACCGCTCGGACGGTGTCCATCTCTCGGCAGTGGGTTGGGATCTGTTAACCCTGGGCTGGCAGGAATACTCAAAGCACTATTTCTTCGGGGTGGCGGAGCTCAGACAGCTTAAAGAGTCAAGGTCTGAGCTTGTGGCGGGATAGGGGGTTGAAGGAGAAGAAATAGGCTCCCTAGGATGAACATCATGAAGACGGAAAACTGTGGTCATTGGTGGTTGGTAGGTTTCGAGTCCTGTCGGTGGCTCAGAACCTAGTGGGGTAGGGGTATCCGGGTATAGCCCTGCCATGGTTAGTTTATGTTTGGCACTTTAAGTTGGTATGTTGGAATATGTTGGTATATATGTTATATATGTGTTATTTATATGGGGGTCATTGCCTTTTATATTAATAGAAGGAATCGGATGCGAGGGCAGTGTATGTTTACCCATGTTTATTTGTTAAATTATTATTATGGTTATTATTATACAGGATTGTTTAAATAAAGCTGTGGACAAATTTTCCCATATACCTGCGTGTCAGTGCGTTATTGGGTTAGGTATGTGGGGGGTTGTCCTGAAATCCGACTGCCCATATGGCGACTATACACCGGTCAAGATAATAGCAGAATCAGTTTCTTTTTGGGTGTTTTGTCCTGAAAGTAATGTGTAAAATGACTACGGTACTGAAACAGTTAAGAGGGAATTATCACTAAATAATCATTTGTGCAACGTTCCAAATTCTCCAAACTGACTGTTTTAGCCAAATTTTGCAAGTTATTTGTCAACTTATCACAAAATATTGTTTAGCGAACAAAACCCTAAATTGCTTCAACATATCTTTAAAAGGAAACTGTAGCGGCTACCCCATTGGAGAGGGGGTATCAGCCGTTGGAGACATCGTTTTTTCCCGGCAAGATGCTGTGCAGTAATGGAGTAGCCTTCTTTCTATCAGCTGGATCCAAGTAGAGAGAGAGAGGTAGAGCTCTTAAAAGAGCTAGTGATTAGCTGAGCAGGTTCCCTTTCAATAACGAGACAAAGCTACGTTTTGAAGGGTAAAGTAGAACTGAGGTTTAATGACAGGTACTCTCCTTTTATGCGGTGCTCCCATGCAAGGGAGACACCCACAACCAATTAGACATTAACCAATCAGACAATGGTTACAACCCACATATTCCCTCCCCTCTGCTTGGGAGATAATTGAGTTTCTTACTGGATCTACTCAATTATCTCCAAGCTAAAACTTATACTTTTTATGCATTTTCATAAATTTCAGATTTTTCATCATACAGGAATAAAACGTATATTTTTATGAACAACCCAACTTGGGGGAAAACATATTCAAAATTCGTACAAATCCGTTCAGGGGTTCCAGAGATATTAAAAAGTACCTTTGGACCGCACGCCTGTTTGCATGCCCAAAACAGTTCCACAGATTCAGGCTGTGCGGTCGGTCTATTTCTGCCCTGAAAAAATAACAAAGTCCCATCCGAAGGCGGCGTTCGATTTGTCGAAGTGAAACCGGGGTTAAGTTTCAGCGGTGTTCGATTGTCTAATGGAGGTCTATTTTACGCCAAAATGACAAAGTCCCATTCGAACGTGTATTCGAATCTTCGAATGGGACTTAGTCTCCAGCCGCAGTGTTGAAGGGTAGGGGAAGGTATAGGTCAGCGGTGTTCGTTCAAATGTGTGGCCGATTTCCGTTCCAGGGATTTGACGGCACACACCGCTGACCGCGTTCGACTGGATTAAAATGGCCAATCGTGTTCGATTGTCTAATGGCGGCCACTTCGACTACTTTGACTACTTCGGCTGTATCCGAAGTACCATATCAAACTTACCAATCCTTTGCACAAAACAGTTAAAGGGCCAGACATAGTCTTTGTTCTTAGGTACAGGCAATGTGGATGATGGCAAAAACAAACAAAAGGTAGAGGTTACCAGGCAACAAGGTAGGGGGTTGTTACAGAAACTATAGTCACCAACACAACTTTAACTTAAAGCAGGGCTCGACAAATCCCACGTTGCCATGGCGACTAGGAATTTTGACCTAGCGCCTTGGATTTGTCAGCCCGTTCAGGGGAGGTGGCACAATGAGGGTGAACGTAGGCAGACAGACCGGCACGAGTGCATGGAGGTGGCGAGGGAGGGAGCTGTTTTCTGTAGGCTTTCTCTGCTCTACTCCCTCTTCATGCAGTCCGTCTATGGAATTCCATTAAGCTATATACAGCATACAGGTGTTCGCTAGCGCCCTGTCACTTACTTAGATAACACTGTGTATATAGACCCCAGGCCAATAATCAGGAGATGGGATTTAATAGTTTATTCAGATTTTGTGAGATCAAATGCCCACTAATGGCTGACCACACAATTGACAGGAATTCAGAGGAAGGTTGTAGGCCATAGCATTGGAAACTGAAATCAGACAGCTTTGAAAATTTTGAATTCTTTTTTCAATTGTTTCACATTACTAATTTAGTAATAAACAAATGTCTACAAACTTATTTACTAAATTGTCAGGAATTCAAAGTAATTTTCAATCTTTTTCAAATATTCAATATTTTTGGGCAAAATAGCCAAATTGTAAGATTTACTCTTGGTAAAGTGAATTTGCTCATCATAGTAAATATTATTGGTGTCTATCAGTTTGTTAGATAGTGAGAGAATCCACAGGATTATCTGAAGGCTGATCTGGGACTGTGTGCCACAGTCTCTAATGCTTGACATTTACATTTTCCAACTCTTTATGCAAACCTGATTTGCAATCCCATGATTCCTTTTGATTTAATTAATTCAGTTAGTCATAATTTTAGAATTTCACAGGCGCATTGATTATATAGACTTGATATCCCTGGTTTATGGATTTCCACACTACAGAATCCCATGATATTCACACGCAAAGCAAATCATGCATTCAAATGTACATAGTATTCTGTCAATCCTTTTTCTAAATTAATGATAGGGAGGGTTCATAAGGGAAAATCTGTTTTAGGTAAAAGCTGATCAGCCACAACATTAAAACAACCTGTTTAATATCGTGTAGGTCCCGCCTTGTGCTGCCAAAACAGCTCTGATCCGTCGAGGTATGGACTCCACAAGACCTGTGAATGTGTCCTGTGGTATCTGGCACCAAGATATTACCAGCAGGTACTTTTAAGCCCTTCAAGTTGCAAGGTGGGGCTTCCATGGATTTGGTTTGTTGTTCCAACACATCCCACAGATGCTCAATCAGGAGGAATGTCGATGCCAAGGCAACACCTTGAGCTCTTTGTCATGTTCCTCAAACCATTCCTGAACATTGGTTGCAGTGTGGCAGGGTGCATTATCCTGTTGAAAGAGGCCAATGCCATCAGAGAAAAACATTGCCACCCAAGATTTCCCGAGCATAAAACTACCTCTGCCGGCCTACCTTCTTCCCATAGTGCATCCTGCTGCCATCTCTTCCCCAGGTAAACAACGCACAAGCACCTAGCCATCCATCTGATCTAAAAGAGAAAAACTTTGCCCCCTGGCAGGTGTCATCATGGGCACTTTGACCAGTCTGCAGCTACGCAGCCCCATACACAACAAAATGTGTTGCACTGTGTGTTCTGACACCTTTTCTATCATGGCCAGTATTACGTTTTTAGCAATCTGAGCTACAGTATCCCTTCTTTGTGATCGGACCAGACGAACTAACCTTCCCTCCACATGCATCAATGAGCCTTTGGCGCCCATGACCTTGATGCCAGTTGTCCTTCCTTGAACCACTTTTGGTATTTACTAACCGCTGCGTACCGGGAACACCCCACAAGACTTGCCGTTTGGAGATGCCCAGTTATCACTATTTTGTACTTGTCACTCAGATCCTTTCGATTGCCCTTTTTCTTGCTTCCAACACATGAAATTCAAGAACTGACTGTTCACTTGCTGCCTAATATATCCCACCTTTTGACAGGTGCCATTGTAACGATCTAATCATTGTTATTGATTCATTGTTGATTATATAATGGCATCGCAGTTTTAGGCTGATGTCATTGTGGAGATATCCCTCCAGACCTGGGACTGAATTATGAGACCATAAATTCTCGCTATGAAAAGGGCTTAATAGAAACCCTCCTCCAGATCCACCAAGAGGCTCAAGAGTCTCTCCCTGGTTGTGGAGGTAGTTGTCTGGAGACGGCCTCTCCTCAATTAGCAGAAACAGGAACTTTAAAGGTGAGTGTCTTAAAGGACAACTGTGAGCAAACGTTATGACATTTAGTGAAATGGAATGCGTGTTTCATTGGTGTATAGTGGTTATTTAAAAAGAAAAGAGCGGCCATATTGGATCAGATTCTACTGTTATCTGAGCAGCTGCTGTGATTGGTCTGTATGACCCTGGCGCAGGGAGCGAGTTAGGTTGGGCAGCAGGCGGTCAGATAACAGTAGAATCAGCGAGATAAAGAAAGTTAAATATTATTACTGGTATTTATAAAGTTCCAGAATATTTGTCATGTTAAAAAGAATATCGGTAAGTTTTTCATGAAATGTAATAAACTTTTTTTAAATGTGATGAACGTTTCCTTAAATTCTTTCAATGTATGTGTATATTTAGAATGTGTTTTATAATGCAGGGTATTTCCTGGCCATCCGTGGGGTGTTCGTAATGGCTAGTAATGTATCGTGTGACAGAGCTGACAGCGTTAAACTTTGCTCAGATACACGGTGGAGATGCAGTCAGTATAACCTTGTACTATATGTTCTATGTGCGGGCTGTCCCTCACTGAAACTCCTCCTAGAGCAATATCTGCTGCAATATTTATTGCCTTTAATATTTTAAAGGCAGATTCAATTTAGCAAATGGTAAACTTGTCCTGCGGGTAGAATTGTATTGTAAATGGCTTTCCCACGCCATATAGCCTTTTATGGTTTTAAATTTGGAAAATAGTTATATTTCCTGCAGTAGTACCTAGCGCAGTAAACCTTCAGCACTCCAGTCGTTGCAGACTACATCATCATTAATGCTGTCACAGCCGTAATACTGGCAAAGCATCAAGTGAAATGCAGTCCACAACATCTGGAGTGCCGAAGGCTGTCTACCATTGACCAATACCTTGTAGTATTGTTACTCTCTAGATCTGTAGCTGGCATTATTTGGTGGCATTTCTTCTGTTTACTAAAATCAAAGTTTTACTCTCCTTTAAACACATGTTAATTATAACCTATTGTACAATGCTTCTGAATATGTTGGTGCTATATAAATAAAAACAATCTTTCCCGCAGTTGCCTCTGAGGGGAGCAGCTTTGCTCTGTTATCGAAAGACAGCAGGTTAATTGCTAACGAGCTGAGCTGGTAAATATATAATAAGGTGAGTTTTCTTTTTGCTATTTCATATCCTATTTGTTCAAATCCTTAATTAGTGAATACACCCCCTTACTGATGGTTCATATACCCCCCCTTACTAGTGGTTCATAAACCCCCCTTACTGGTGGTTCATACACCCTCTTTACTGGTGGTTCATACACCCTCCTTACTGGTGGTTCGTACACCCCCCTTACAGTTGGTTCGTACACCCCCCTTACTGGTGGTTCATACACCCTCCTTACTGGTGGTTCATACACCATCCTTACTAGTGGTTCATACACCCTTCTTACTGGTGGTTCATATGCTCTCCTTACTGGTGGTTCATACGCCCTCCTTACTGGTGGTTCATACACCCTCCTTACTGGTGGTTCATACACCCTCCTTACTGGTGGTTCGTACACCCCCCTTACTGGTGGTTCGTACACCCTTCTTACTGGTGGTTCATACACCCCCCTTACTGGTGGTTCATACACCCCCCTTACTGGTGGTTCATACACCCTCCTTACTGGTGGTTCGTACACCCTCCTTACTGGTGGTTCATACGCCCTCCTTACTGGTGGTTCGTACACCCTCCTTACTGGTGGTTCATACGCCCTCCTTACTGGTGGTTCGTACACCCTCCTTACTGGTGGTTCGTACACCCTTCTTACTGGTGGTTCGTACACCCTCCTTACTGGTGGTTCGTACACCCTCCTTACTGGTGGTTCGTACACCCTCCTTACTGGTGGTTCGTACACCCTCCTTACTGGTGGTTCATACACCCCCCTTACTGGTGGTTCATACACCCTCCTTACTGGTGGTTCATACACCCCCCTTACTGGTGGTTCGTACACCCCCCTTACTGGTGGTTCGTACACCCTCCTTACTGGTGGTTCATACACCCTTCTTACTGGTGGTTCATACACCCTCCTTACTGTTGGTTCATACACCCTCCTTTGCACACAATGTATCTTATAGGGGTTAATGCACTAAACACTGTATTTTAGGGAATTGAAAACTAAATTACAAAATGTAGATTATGTGTATATAGCTGACTGGTGAATTTATCCAAATCTGCTACATTATTGAAGGTTTACTTTTCAGTTATATAGAATTTGGTGTTCAGTGAATACATCCACTAAGAAATAAAGTGTGTATGCGTTAATTTGTACCTTAAATGCTGTGATGCCGCTAAATCCACGTTGGTTGCTGTGTCTGTGCCATGCAGCTGTGACCGTTCACACGCTGCCCGTCCGAGGCAGAATGGGAGTGCGGCTATTACAGACTGCTTTAAAGAGTTTATGGTGTTGCTAAGAGGCCGGACATTCTTTGCACAAGCAGTCGGAGCTATTACATTCTGTTTGTATGTTGTTACTGAAAGGCAGGACAGCCTGTATAACCTGAAAGGGCCTGTTCAATGGCAATAATCTCTAGGTAATGGATAGTAGGAAGAAAGACTGCTGGGTGAGATTAATCCACTAAACAGTGTGTTTAAATAGTTTTCCTGTTTGACTTCATTTTGCCAAAAATAATCTGTTTTCTTGTCCTCAGCTTGCTGTTTAGTGACTGAATACCGATAGCTCTACACTAACAAGTTAAAGGGACATTATAGTCACCCAAGTCCACTTTATCTCTGTCTGTCCCTGTCCCTTTAACCCCGCAATGTGAAACACATGAAACATCAATGTTTACACTGTGGGGCGAACTCCTCCTCTAATGGCTGTCATACTGAAGCCCATATAAAAGCATTACCTCCCTCTACTGTAATGTAACCTGTAAAGTGCTGAGTACACCTGTTAGCGCTATATAAATAAAATATACACACACGGTATACCTACTGCACTTACTGTACCTCCCTCTACTGTAATGTAACCTGTAAAGTGCTGAGTACACCTGTTAGCGCTATATAAATAAAATATACATACACTGTATACCTACTGCACTTACTGTACCTCCCTCTACTGTAATGTAACCTGTAAAGTGCTGAGTACACCTGTTAGTGCTATATAAATAAAATATACATACACTGTATACCTACTGCACTTACTGTACCTCCCTCTACTGTAATGTAACCTGTAAAGTGCTGAGTACACCTGTTAGTGCTATATAAATAAAATATACATACACTGTATACCTACTGCACTTATTGTACCTCCCTCTAATGTAATGTAACCTGTAAAGTGCTGAGTACACCTGTTAGCGCTATATAAATAAAATATACATACACTGTATACCTACTGCACTTACTGTACCTCCCTCTACTGTAATGTAACCTGTAAAGTGCTGAGTACACCTGTTAGCACTATATAAATAAAATATACATACACTGTATACCTACTGCACTTATTGTACCTCCCTCTACTGTAATGTAACCTGTAAAGTGCTGAGTACACCTGTTAGCGCTATATAAATAAAATATACATACACTGTATACCTACTGCACTTACTGTACCTCCCTCTACTGTAATGTAACCTGTAAAGTGCTGAGTACACCTGTTAGCGTTATATAAATATAATATACATACACTGTATACCTACTGCACTCACTGTACCTCCCTCTACTGTAATGTAACCTGTAAAGTGCTGAGTACACCTGTTAGCACTATATAAATCAAATATACATACACTGTATACCTACTGCACTTACTGTACCTCCCTCTACTGTAATGTAACCTGTAAAGTGCTGAGTACACCTGTTAGCGTTATATAAATATAATATACATACACTGTATACCTACTGCACTCACTGTACCTCCCTCTACTGTAATGTAACCTGTAAAGTGCTGAGTACACCTGTTAGCACTATATAAATAAAATATACATACACTGTATACCTACTGCACTTACTGTACCTCCCTCTACTGTAATGTAACCTGTAAAGTGCTGAGTACACCTGTTAGCGCTATATAAATATAATATACATACACTGTATACCTACTGCACTTACTGTACCTCCCTCTACTGTAATGTAACCTGTAAAGTGCTGAGTACACCTGTTAGCACTATATAAATAAAATATACATACACTGTATACCTACTGCACTTACAGTACCTCCCTCTACTGTAATGTAACCTGTAAAGTGCTGAGTACACCTGTTAGCGTTATATAAATATAATATACATACACTGTATACCTACTGCACTTACTGTACCTCCCTCTACTGTAATGTAACCTGTAAAGTGCTGAGTACACCTGTTAGCGCTATATAAATAAAATATACATACACTGTATACCTACTGCACTCACTGTACCTCCCTCTACTGTAATGTAACCTGTAAAGTGCTGAGTACACCTGTTAGCGCTATATAAATAAAATATACATACACTGTATACCTACTGCACCTCCCTCTACTGTAATGTAACCTGTAAAGTGCTGAGTACACCTGTTAGCGCTATATAAATAAAATATACATACACTGTATACCTACTGCACTTACTGTACCTCCCTCTACTGTAATGTAACCTGTAAAGTGCTGAGTACACCTGTTAGCGCTATATAAATAAAATATACATACACTGTATACCTACTGCACTTACTGTACCTCCCTCTACTGTAATGTAACCTGTAAAGTGCTGAGTACACCTGTTAGCACTATATAAATATAATATACATACACTGTATACCTACTGCACTTACTGTACCTCCCTCTACTGTAATGTAAGCTGTAAAGTGCTGAGTACACCTGTTAGCGCTATAGAAATAAAATATACATACACTGTATACCTACTGCACTTACTGTACCTCCCTCTACTGTAATGTAACCTGTAAAGTGCTGAGTACTCCTGTTAGCTCTATATAAATATAATATACATACACTGTATACCTACTGCACTTACTGTACCTCCCCCTACTGTAATGTAACCTGTAAAGTGCTGAGTACACCTGTTAGCGCTATATAAATAAAATATACATACACTGTATACCTTCTGCACTTACTGTACCTCCCTCTACTGTAATGTGACCTGTAAAGTGCCGAGTACACCTGTTAGCGCTATATAAATAAAATATACATACACTGTATACCTTCTGCACTTACTGTACCTCCCTCTACTGTAATGTAACCTGTAAAGTGCTGGGTACACCTGTTAGCGTTATATAAATAAAATATACATACACAGTATACCTACTGCACTTACTGTACCTCCCCCTACTGTAATGTAACCTGTAAAGTGCTGAGTACACCTGTTAGCGCTATATAAATAAAATATACATACACTGTATACCTTCTGCACTTACTGTACCTCCCTCTACTGTAATGTAACCTGTAAAGTGCTGAGTACACCTGCTAGCGCTATATAAATAAAACATGTGTTTGTGTATATAGGGGTAATTTTCTAAATTAAATCACTTTGGTGTTTATTCACTAAACACCATATTGCACTGAACTGAATAATGAATTTTAAATTACCGTAAATAAAATATTTATAGCATTTATAGTCATAGCTTGGCCTACATTTTGTCATTTAGTATTCAGTTCTATGAAATTCTGTGTTTTATAGTGAATTAATATTTTTCACAAAATTCTATTTCAGCTCATGGTAATTGAAGGATTCGTAGTCTGCAAACAAACTATATTTCAGTGTATTCAGGTTTATATCGTTACTGTGTGACATTCCAACCAGCTCCTGGCTCGGATATGGGGTCCAGTCCTGTCGGACAGCTCTTATTGCTAAATTGAAAATGAAGCTTGGATTCTCTTGTGAAGTTAGTATCAAGGACAGCTTAGCCCAGCCTGCTCAACGTGTCATTCCCACCAGATTCAGATAGATTTCTACAGCTAGAGAAGAACTCCCATCCCCCATAACTCCAGTTGATTGAAGTTGTTATGGTAGCAGGAGTGCCCAGATGCCATTTTATCTTCATGGGTTAATGCTCTCAGCCTATCACCGACCTCCTGGTAAAACCCCTTCATACGGCGAAAGCAGAGAGGAAGAAATGTCAGGGGCAGCGGCTGAAAGATGGAAAACGCCGTAACGCTGCTACCCAGGTAACAACTGTGAAGCTGAAGCTGTTGTGGGAATTTTCTTATCGAAGCACCATTACCGTGTAGTGAATTGGTTCTGGTGCCAGGAATCCCCTTTCAAATTGTAAGAAAGGTATGTATCTTTCTCATACTGGTTTCTGAATGGGGAGTTAGCGATAATGGGAGATCGTCAGCCTATCGTCATTGAAACCTCGGAGCTTTGTAGAAACCAGGCACAGAGCGAAGTGCTGTCTTCGCAATTTTGGGGTTATACTGTTTGTAAATGGTTTAACTCCTTAAGGTAAAATGGTGCCCATGGTTTCATGGCACCATAACAACCTAAAGGCATACTATAGTCACCAAAACAACTTTACATGAGCTATACACCAACACCGATTCATTGAGCTAAAGTTGTTTTGGTGACAATAGTGCCCCTTTATTTAAGATTAAGTAGTTGTGGTGCCAACAGTGTTCCTTTAATACAGGTGTAAGACTCTTATTATCTCAGAGGTGCAGGGCTTTGGGTGCCCTGAGAGCCCTAGGATCTGCGACTAAACACTCCTTGCACCATAATCACTACAATAAGATCTAATCGTATAATACTCTGCAGTGGTTTTGGTGCTTAGAATGCCTCATATTTGCATGACCTGTATGTTCTGAATCTTACTGCATTGTAAGCTTTCCCCATGCGTAGAGCAGACTAACACATGGACAGGGCACTGTGTATTCCAATTAAAGTCACGAAACCTGAGCTTTCGACATTATTTTTAGAACTCCTATCTAGACAGTAACAGTTAATTCTAGAGCAATGAGCTGAAAGGGACCATGATCTAATTATAAACATGGTAATTAGTAGCCTCACGTGACCCCCATAAATGGGACCCCACCATCCCTGACTCAGAGCTTGAATATGAATACCCACTTAGCATCTCTCGGGTACGCGGCAGTCTGTGTTGGCAGTTAGGTGGTTATTAGGACGATAGGCAATATGGAACTCTGGGTTAATACCTCCGGCTGTTGCATGGGACTGGTAATGTTACACCCTCTGAGATCTCTAGGTAAAGAACTCAATGTGTCACTGAACATAAGTAGGCCTCAGTGTCGCCCTCACAAGGCAGGCTGTCCCACTGGGGCAAATAGTTAACCTCTTCATTGCAAGAGCATGTCATCCAGGAGATTTAAGGAATGACTGTTAACAAGTTGAAAAATAAAGTTTAGATTAGTTTTACATCAATCAGTTATCTGCTATTCCGAGGCTTAACAAATAATAACATATTCACCAATTACCAATAGCACAGAATGCAGCCCCCACAATATTTCTAAAACACCGAACCCATGGGCTGCGCCCCATACAGGCATGTACTCATTAACCCCCTCCCTCCCAGACGTGTATTGTGATACACTCCTGTAAGTAGTTATCCAAGTTCCAGTCTGCGTTAATGTACAGCACTCGTAGTGTTCTACATCATATTAACAATATTGAAATTTCACTGCCATCATAGAAGCGCAGCGTCACTACCTCTAGAGATTGGGGAGTTTCGTATTAGGAGATGTTTATATTCCTAAGCGCTACCTATATCTTTTTTTTTATGTTTATCCACATTGCTTTAGTATGCATGGAGTTTACCATTTGGGAGTCCCCCTTAAAACTGATGTGGACTACAACTCCTGTGACATCCCCCCATGTGAAGATTAGATTTACAGTAGCTATACATCCAGTAACCAGATCGTACACCCCATCACCGTGGGTGACCCCTAAATCTCTCTAAACCTACTGCATGGGGTAACACAGAATTACTGTTACATGTGGGACTCCCAGAGCGTGTGGTATATAGTTACACTGTGCAACACATGGCATTACTGTATCCAGACACCCAGTATAAAGGTACACCCTACACGTGGCATTAGTGGATCCAGACACCCAGCATACATGGTATATAGGTACACCCTGCACGTGGCATTAGTGTATCAAGGCACCCAGTAAACATGGTATATAGGTACACCCTGCACGTGGCATTAGTGTATCAAGGCACCCAGTATACGTGGTAAATAGGTACACCCAGCACGTGGCATTAGTGTATCCAGACACCCAGTATATGTGGTATATAGGTACACCCTGCACGTGGTATTAGTGTATCCAGACTCCCAGTGTGTGTGGTATATATGTACACCCTGCTGCACGTGGCATTAGTGTATCCAGACACCTAGTGAACATGGTATATAGGTAAAACCTGCAACATTGTTACACGTGGCATTAGTGTATCAAGACACTCAGTGTATGTGGTATATGGGTATACCCTGCTACACGTGGTATTAGTGTATCCAGACACCAACTGTATGTGGTATATGGGTACACCCTACACGTGGTATTAGTGTATCCAGACACCCACTGTATGTGGTATATGGGTACACATTGCTACACGTGGCATTAGTGTATCCAGACACTCAGTGTGTGTGGTATATGGGTACACACTGCTACACGTGGTATTAGTGTATCCAGACACCCAGTGTATGTGGTATATGGGTACACCCTACACGTGGCATTAGTATATCCAGACTCCCAGTGTATGTGGTATATAGGTACACCCTGCTACACGTGGCATTAGTGTATCCAGACACCCAGTGTACGTGGTATATGGGTACACATTGTTACATGTGGCATTAGTGTATGTGGTATATGGGTACACACTGCTACACGTGGCATTAGTGTATCCAGACACCCAGTGTCTCAAAATCATTCAACCCCTGAACGGAATCCTTCACAACATTCCCATTATCATTGTCAGACAGTGTGCTGCCAGCCCATTGCTTTGTATAATAATGATATTGTATCACTACACTATTAGGCCAGGCTGTGTCATTGTCAGACAGTGTGCAGCCAGCCCATTACTTTGTATAATAATGATATTGTATCACTACACTATCAGGCCAGGCTGTGTCATTGTCAGACAGTGTGCTGCCAGCCCATTGCTTTGTATAATAATGATATTGTATCACTACACTATTAGGCCAGGCTGTGTCATTGTCAGACAGTGTGCTGCCAGCCCATTGCTTTGTATAATAATGATATTGTATCACTACACTATTAGGCCAGGCTGTGTCATTGTCAGACAGTGTGCTGCCAGCCCATTACTTTGTATAATAATGATATTGTATCACTACACTATTATGCCAGGCTGTGTCATTGTCAGTGTCTGTCTCTATTCTATATATTGTGCTGTCTGTAACTGTACTTTAATTATACCGCGCTGTAGTATGTGTTGGTGCTCAATAATAACAAAGTAACCCTGCACGTGGGATATATTCCTTCTCCTCCAATAGTTCTCATCCTATCAGGAGCCAAATAAACAAAAACAAAGGGACTCCAAGATCCATGATGCATTGCATCCAGACTGAGTCCCAGGCAGTCCCCAAGTTGCACAGAGCGTAGGGATACAGATGGGTCTTTCATTGTCAACCCTCGCAGGTGCATGTATGGAGGTCCTGGCTGGGTGACTGTGTATTAGGAGTCTGGTTACCAAGGTTACAAAGCCCTCTTCTTTTGTGAGTCTCGGCCAGATGATTAGTGGGTGAGGGGTTGGGAGAAGGATATATATAAAGCACTTTGAGAACAGACACAGCATGGGGCAGTCACTTACCCACATTACACTCCAGTCTTTGTTGTTATATTACAAAGGAGATGGGACGCAGAGCGCTGTCTCCTGCAGACCATCTTACACCTTCTTAGAGACCTACTCGTCTAGCGTTTCATAGTGCTACCACGCTCAGCCGTCCATGTGCCCCCCACCCACAAGCAGTAACAAAGGGGCGAAGCCCAGGCCTCCAGCCTCCCCTCTGCCTCAATACATTCCCTTCACTCCCAGTGTGATCAATAGGACCTGCCCTTCCCTCTTCTATTTTCAATGCACACAGCATCCCAGGCAGCCAATCACAAGCTCCCGCTCCAGGCCACTGGGACACAAGGGGCTACAAGCTCTGAATATCCAGCCGAGGACCAGAGAGGTCACATCCCTGCTCCTCCCTCGTTCTTCTCATCTACTGAACTGGCCCACTGGCTGTTGCTTCTGCAAGTGCATTAACCCTTTCCATCCTCTAGTGTAGGTTAGCTTTAATGGAGGCAACGTGCGTTTGTTTGGAGTGTTCTGCATAGACGTGTCCCCTGTTATTTCAGATTATTGGAGGGGGGGGCAGGAGGGAAATGAACTTATAAGAATAAAAAACGTTACATTATTTTAGCCACTTTCACCCAGTTTTATCTGATAGCCCCCAACTCCCAACATTAAATAAAAATGCCAAAATCGCCCAGTGCTCAAATCGCAATATTCTAAGGGGCATCAATGGCTGTAGGATTCCTTAGCCAAGTTAATGGCACACTTCCAATGTACTATTCACATTAATATGTTTTTATTATTGCCAAAATTCGCCCACCAGCACCTGGAGGTTTTTTACACAAATTAACCCCTCTGCATATAATTGTATCTCCTGCTAGCTTTGCACATCTAATAGCACACACACACCTACCATTTCTGTACCAACTGGTTTATTATTAATAAATCCATCAGTACTCACCAGAAACTTAATGGATCACTCCTCTGTTTCAAAACAAAATAAATTCACTATTTAGTAGATATCCAAACAAAACATGCGTGTGTTTTTCTGAATTCTTTCTTTGTGGGTTTATGAAAAACTATTTGCAAACGCTGCAGATCTGCTGTCTGCAGCCTTTGCATGTTAAGTGGTCCGGAGCTCGCACAGCTTTCGTTTCCTATGTCTCATTGAGCTGTGGTACATCTCTTTGAGGTATATTAGCAGGCGCCACAATACTCCTCACATTTATACCATTGCAGCAGTCTTTAGTGGTTATGGTACAACCAAAAGCATTGCTTTCATAAAACACTGATTTTGGTTAAGATAACTGTTTCTTAGCCCCACCCCACACTTCAAACTTAAAAGAAAAGCTGAAACTTACCTCCGATCTAGCACCAAGTCCAAGTTCTCCCTTGAGCCCAGTCCCCCTTGGCTGACTTCACTACCCTGAACTGATGCCAGCATGCGCCAGAACTGGCTAATGAGGCTGCTGGAGGTGGAGGTCCACCTATGGCATCTTAGGGGTTAATCTCTGTACGTGCAGCGTTTCAAATTAAAACGCTACACATACTGACTACAGACACCATGACTACTTCAAATCACTGACGCAGTTATGGTTACTGGACTAACCCTTTAAACTCATCAACGCTTAACGTCTTTTAAAAATGTGTGTTTATATCAAAAACTAATATTTCATCACTTCTGCCAACAAGTTTTCCTCTTCTGCCTTTAAAGAGTAACTATTGTGCCAGGAAAGCAAAGTTTTATGTGTTTTTGGGTGACTCTGGATAGGGTCGATCCTAGTGTCACAGACACCTTGGTGCAGAATTGTTTTTGGCGCCCCCAGATGGCCGAGGTCATCTTGCTAACTGTTGCCATAGAAACATGCTTGTGTGCACTTGGCAGATGTCCAGACATGCATGTTTCCACTGCAACGACTCCACCACTCCATCTATATGCATCACCCCTTTTTGTAATCACACACTCACTGACATACACTCTCAATGACACACACACAAATTCACTTATTTGAAACACTCACTGACAGACTAGGCTCACTGACAAACACACACACACTGAAAGACTCACATACACTCACTAACAAACACACATACACACTAAAAGTCTCACATACACTCACTGATAGACACATACACTCACTAACAAACACACACATACACACTGAAATACTCATATACACTTACTGATAGACACACAAACACTGACAGACACACACATACGCTCACTGACACACACACATACGCTCACAGACACACATTTACACATTCTTTCACGCACACCGACATACACAGACATATTTACACATTCTTGCACACACACTAAAAAATGTATTATATTTATTGCTGATTTTTTTTCGAGGCCATTCATTCTCCCTATCTTTGGAAAAGCTGGTGTGGGTCCTCTCCCTGGAGGTCTCCCTGTCTGCTCCTCACTGCTCCCTAACGCGTGCAGTTTAGTGATGCCATGCCGGAGCAGGAAGAACAGGCTGCACTCCCTTGCCGCCTTCAGCTTTCTGCTTCCTCTCCCTCCGGCCTGGTAAATTTCAGCAGTGTGGGGAAAGCATGTGCCTACTCTGCCTTAACTGAGTAAACACCGCTCTGAGGGCACCCTTAGGTGGCAAGTTGACCACCTCTGGAGCTCCCTGTGACACTCCACCTGCCCGCTCCTCACAGCGCCACCCAGCTCCTGTCTGGTAGGCAGCCACTAGAGGTGAAGTTAACCCTCCTAGGTAATTGAGTTTATCAAATCTGCAATAATTACCATTGCAGGGGTAAGGAGCCTGGGACACTGCACCAAGACCATGTCCATAGGCAGCCTATTGTATAAGGGTGTGCACCCTAAGGTACTAACACACACGCCGCGTATATATATACATACACACACATATACCGCTGTGTGCGTAAAGGCGCTGTGTGTGTAAGGGTGCTCTGTGTGTGGGCGCTGTGTGTGTGGAAGGGTGCTGTTTGTGTGTGTATGTGTGTATATGTAAGGGTGCTGTGTGTGTAAGGGTGCTGTTAGTGTATGTGTAAGGGTGCTGTTAGTGTGTGTGTGTAAGGGTGCTGTATGTGTGTGTGTGCTGATTGTGTGGGGGTGGGGGGGCCGTTTAGTTAATACCCCCCCTCCCTTCTTACCTTATGTAGAGAGGGGGGACCATGCTCCGCAGGGGGCTAGAGTTGACTCTCGCGAGATCTGAGCGTTGCCACGGCAACAATCCGACCTCGCGAGAGGAACCCGGCGGAGCTGCTGGCAAGAGCTCCCCGGGTCCTCTCCTGCCTCCCTCCATGCTGCTGTGGGTCTGTGAGGGAGAGCTTTGATCTCCCCACCAGCCCACGGAGGGAGGCAGATAGCGCGTGCCGCGGGGATTAGGGTGTGCCCAGGCACACCCCGTGCGCACGCCTACGACCACATCAATGAGCTGAAAGTGCTCTGGGCCTATAGCGTCCCTTTAACTCCACTGGGTTATGTACCAAAGTGAGAATTTTGATATAAAAGTAAGGACAGAATATCAAATCTAAAATATCCAACCTGTTTCATGCTTTGTCCATGATTGTGTGGTTCCTTTTCAGTTTCCACATTTTATTGTAAAATATTTTATTGTAAAATATTAAAACTGAATTGCAATATCCTCAATCTTAATTTGTCACATCTTGACTGTTTTAGCCTGAATTTGGCAATTTCATTCATCACATGTAGTTACATTGTAATTTAGGTTGAATTCACATTAGAGGCTAAAATAGCCGAACGTTGCCAGCTGTGTGTCCCGTTTGGATACTTTGGCCTAGAATTTTCACTTTGAATTCTCACTTTTTTAATGAATAATTGTGATGGACATGAGTCACTTTTTGTTTTAGCCTTAGATTGGCAATTCCGCTCTAAATTCCTTACATTGTCTATTGATAAAACCTATTAAACCAACGGCATGAGATCTCATAACTATGTCTATGGATACAATGTGTTTTAAAGAGAACCCTCTGACCTGATTGTGGTAATGTAAATAATAGTGATAAGGTATATCAATAATGGTGATAACGTATATCAATAATGGTGATAATATATATAAAAAATGGTGATAAATATGTATTAATAATGGTGAAAATGTATATAAAGAATGGTGATAATATATATCAATAATGGTGATAATATATATTAATAATGGTGATAGTGTATATGAATAATGTTGATAATATGTATCAATAACGGTGATAATGTATATTAATAATGCTGATACTATATATCAATAATGGTGATTATGTATATAAATAATAGTGATAATATATATCAATAATGGTAATAATATGTATTAATAATGTTGATAATATATCAATAATGGTGATTATATATTAATTATGGGGATTAAATATATATATCAATAATGGTGATAAGGTATATAAATAATGCTGATAATATATATTAATGGTGAAAATGTATATCAATAATGGTGATAATATATATATTAATAATGGTGATAATGTATATCAATAATGGTGATAATATATATTAATAATGGTAATAATAGTGATAATATATTAATGGTGATAATAGTGATAATATATATCAATGGTGACAATATATATCAATAATAATGCTAATATGTATTGAGACTATTGATTATATATTAATAATAGTGATAATATTATATATATATATATTGGTGATAATGTATATAAATAATAGTTATAATATATATCAATAATGGTGATAAAATATAGTAATAATAGTTATAATATAATATATATCAATAATAGTTATATATATTAAGAATAGTGATTATATATTAATAATAGTGATAATATATTTACATATAATGGTGATAATGGATATAAATAATAGTTCAAATAGATATCATTAATGGTGATAATATATATATCAATAATAGTGATAATGTATATGAATAATGGTGATAATAGTAATACTATATATCAGTAACGGTGATACATTGTAACACTAGGCACAACCCACCTGGTGTTATTATTGCCTTCTATCTGCGTATCCCTCCCCTGTTCTCTACTTCATCCCAAACATTCCCAGTTTATCTCCTGCTGTCTGTCTGTCAGATTGTATTCACTAAATGACGAATTGTAACAAATCAGAATTCAGGCTAAAACAGACAAGCTGTGACGATGACTGAGTGGAGGATTTTTCCAGATCTGCTACTTTAGTTGTTTGTACCATGTGATATTCAGTGTGTTACAATATGGAATATGGTGAATCCATTTTCAGTCTCTCTCTCTCGCATTTCTACCTGTCTCTGTCTGTCACTGCCTATCTGTGTCTCTGTCCATATTTCTCTCTACCTTCTCTGTCTGCCTCCCCTTATCCCTCTCTTTTAATTGTCTGTATGTCTCTTTCTTTAACTCTCTCTTTGTTCTTCTTTGCTTTTAACTCTTCTGTTTTGGACTCTTACGATGTTCTCTCTCCTAACATACTAAGCAGCATGTTTACCCCCTCTGATATGAGACAGAATAATACGCCCTCTGTACAGGCTCAGTAAAGAATGCTAAACTAAGAGAAGAATTTATTTCCTGTTCTTTACCCTCAGTGAGAAGCTGTACAAAAAGCTGCCCCTGTACCCCACTCCCTTCCCAGCCCCAGTAAACACTCACTGTGGGAATCCAGGCGTGTTCCTCTCCTCTCCCAGACGGGTTTGGAAGCTTCCTGGCCGACCTCCCCGGGTAGTGTTTTAAATAACTCAGGAGTCAATTTATCCAACCTGTTCATATTCTTTTTTCTTTAGAAATGTTCGATTAAACCAGAGCCAGCTACAGCCAAATGCAGTGCAGTCACATTTACACCAAGGTCACAGTCTCCAGGCGAGATCAGAGAGTCCGTGAACGTGAGAAAATACCGACAAGCACCTCGTCAGGAATTTCAAGGCTGGTGCAAGGGATTCAGATATAATTGCAAGAAAAGTAAAACTCAACTTTCACCCTATGTACACTAACCACTTTTACCGTCTGTAAGATTTCTCACTTTTAAAATAAAGAATCAGAAAAGAAAGTAATAGCGAAAAAATTCACATGTTTCTCAAACATCCCCAAATCTTCCCCAAGGCGTTTTCCTTATAGAATCTGAGTCCAGCGGCCCAGGTGCAGGTTTTAAAGAATACTTCTAAACTGGTCACCCAAACATAAATGGACGAAGGGATGCAGTTTGCAATAAATTAGCAAAAGCAGAAATTCTCTCATTGTTTGCTGTGTTTTGGCCCCTGTAGTAATGGAAACTGCTCACACCTGATTGAAAAGGCTGGTTTGTACCATTTTAATTTTTTTTGCAAGCTTTGCAGAATTATGAATACCTGGAGAGCGTACTGAATCCCAGAGTATTACTGTCTGAACACGTCTGCCGCTCCCACACTGGAAGGGAAGAGTCAGGTTATACAATACGAGTTCAAATTTTCCATTCAACTACTCTGGCCTTAATGCGGCTTGGCCACCCCCTCAAAAAATGAGTATTTTATAAAGATAAAGTCTTTACGAAGTGCTCATATTTACTGTTTTGGCATTTCACTGAAATTCCAATGCAGTCAAAAGATCATAATATACAGCAGGTACTAACTTGTCTCATCCAATTTTCCTTCATGTGACAAAAAGCCAAAGCTCCTCATGTCACGTTTTGTCAGCTACCCCAGTCACTAGTGACAGCTGTGAGGAAAAGGGCATTGTCTATGGAGGCTCAAGTGGCATCATCCACATGTACTCTCGCAAAGGGTACCTTCCCCTGGGCCACCGCACTGCAAGCGGCAAAGTCAATATCAGATTTTTTTCAAAGACCGCAGAAGGTGACAGAGTCGCTTTAATTTTGAAATTCACAATCTAGTAAATTAACCTCACAGTATCAAAACATTCTTTAGTGCTAAAAACAGACTAAAAAGGTAATTAAGTACTCTTGTGCAGACTATTTATAGTCAATGGTTGAGACTTTGTAGATGAGCACAGACAGCGACACAATCAAGTCATATATTCCACAGAGCGCGGATGATGTCCAATCACAATGGAGGGGACTGTGAAATACATTTATCTGAAATATGACAGGCTTTCGCAAGAATTCTGATACATGATGTCCGATCACGATGGAGGGGGCTGTGAAATACATTGATCTGTGTAGCGGAGTAGCAAGGGGTAAGGCACGATCCCTCCGCTGGTAACCAAGATTCAGCATCCATAACACAGGTAGGGTAGTATAATCCCTTTCCCAATGACTAGACAACACATAGTCTGGGAGTCAACTGAGGGCTTTATTGAAAAGTCACCAAATTTATACGGTGTCCCTTGCAAGGGGTTTCCAGACTGGGACAGCAGGGGTTTTAATCAAGGGGACTGTGTGGGAAACTGACCATGCAAGGTCGTTTCCCAGCATCCCCTACTGGCTAAGGACAAAGATGACATCATCAGGCACAGATAATTACATTAACAGTGGTTAAAGTAAAATGTAGTATTTCACATTAAAATCTATAACTTAAGTATTTTCCTACAGATTCTCACGAATGACCCCTCATTAGATTGCAGGGATCTGAATGTACAATCTCACAAATTACCGCTCAGATCCCTTCAGAAATAGCCGAACGCCACACAGAAAACCGTTTTTAGTGAACCGGGTCTGGAAAGGGAGAACTCACGAACTGCTTTAATTCACCGAATGAGTGAGTTTCCCGAACGCTATGGAAGTCCAGCGGTGTTTGGAAATCAAGTAGCCGATTTTAGTTCCAGGCACTCGACGACCAAACACTGCTGAACTCTTAGCGAAAAAAAGATGGCCGCCGCCATCTGTTTGGTACACAAACGTCGGCCCCACACACGAAACCACTTAACAAGTTGAAACAATGTTGCAACTGGGCTAATAAGAGACACACGACCTCCCCGGGGTGGTCTCTCGTTCAGTAGTTAGGTAGTTTCCCGAACAGGGTTGCAGATTACTGTTCGGGAAATAGATGCTGTATCCCCATAGACTAACCATAGGGGATACGGCCATTTTAAAGTCCCGAACACAGTTCATGGGAAGAAAAGTCTTTTACAGTCCCAAGTAGCGAGGTTTGCCACAATCTGAAATATGACGGGCTTTCACAAAAATTCTGATACATGATGTCAATAATAATATGATTTTCTTCCTTTTTATAATTATTTTAATTCAGCGACTTAAATGCTACGTATTTGTGATGAGTCTCATTCTTACTTAACCAGCAGGATGCAGTGTCAAAGCAAATACCATTCACTATAGAACTGACAAGAAAAGGCCAAATTGGGGGAATACAATGGAATGAAGCTCTCTATAGTAGAAGGGGGCAGGAGGGGTTAAGGGAGGTGACATTTACTCATTCGTATCACAGTAAGAAGGCAGCATAAGTGGTTCTGTCTAGGCATCGGAGTTAATGCTATTCCAGAAGGGTATTTTAGGGGTTTACGGTGTAGGGGAAACATTTGTGGGTCCAGAATTGTTGACAGGTTAGTCTGCCTTGTGTGAAACGATTGGGAAAATTTAGTGGTGGAGGGGTTTCTGTGGGAAGCCAGGAACCTCATTCAGTGTTAAACTGCCCAAAAAGGGTTTAACACTGAATGGAGGCACAGTGTCGGGGTACTCCGAGCACCATAACCACTTCATAAAATAGTTATGTTGTGTACAGTGCCCCAATAAGGCTTTATATTCTTTTTGGAGGGATAATGCACCCCATGGATGTCTCAGGAGTAATAGGGAGAAGGACTGTTAATTAAACATTCTGCCTGCCTGGAAGCTTACACTCTATTGGAGTATAATACAGCTACAACATAACGTGCAGATGGAGGGTCAGCGCTGGATAGATTGCAGAATGTATTGCTGCAAACAAAGCTAATCTTCAAATATTGTAATCAGAGTATTGTTAGATCGACCTCCCATTAAATCAGTGCCTCGGGCAGCTGCTTGTCTCATCACTCCTATAAATAGGCCGGCATCTGTGAGATCATGGATCAAACTCCACAGGGTTTTAGCCAAAGTATTCAAAAAGATCTCTAATCCTGCTCACATACACAGTGTGTCACAAGGCGTCCTCCATGTCATACAGGGCCGATCTGTGCCGGGATAGCCCTGCTCACATACACAGTGCGTCACAAGGCGTCCTCCATGTTATACAGGGCCGATCTGTGCCGGGATAGCGCTGCTCACATACACAGTGCGTCACAAGGCGTCCTCCATGTTATACAGGGCCGATCTGTGCCGGGATAGCCCTGCTCACATACACAGTGCGTCACAAGGCGTCCTCCATGTTATACAGGGCCGATCTGTGCCGGGATAGCCCTGCTCACATACACAGTGCGTCACAAGGCGTCCTCCATGTTATACAGGGCCGATCTGTGCCGGGATATCCCTGCCCACATACACAGTGCGTCACAAGGCGTCCTCCATGTTATACAGGGCCGATCTGTGCCGGGATAGCCCTGCTCACATACACAGTGCGCCACAAGGCGTCCTCCATGTTATACAGGGCCGATCTGTGCCGGGATAGCCCTGCTCACATACACAGTGCGTCACAAGGCGTCCTCCATGTTATACAGGGCCGATCTGTGCCGGGATAGCCCTGCTCACATACACAGTGTGTCACAAGGCGTCCTCCAAGGCGCATTACATTCCCACATAAAATCTCTGCACCCACTAATATCTCTGAACCCACTGATATCCATGCACCCACTAATATCCCTGTGCCATCTGAACCCCTAATATCTCTGCACCCACTAATAGCCCTGTGCCATCTGCACCCCTAATATCTCGGCACCCACTAATAGCCATGTGCCATCTGCACCCACTAATATCTCTGCACCCACTAATAGCCCTGTGCCATCTGCACCCACTAATATCCATGCGCCATCTGCACCCCCTAATATCTCTGCAGCCACTAATAGCCATGTGCCACCTGCACCCACTAATATATCTGCACCCATAAATAGCCATGTGCCATCTGCACCCACTAATATCTCTGCACCCACTAATACCCCTGTGCCATCTGCACCCCTAATATCTCTGCACCCACTAATAGCCCTGTGCCATCTGCACCCACTAATACCCCTGTGCCATCTGCACCCCTAATATCTCTGCACCCACTAATAGCCATGTGCCATCTGCACCCACTAATATCTCTGCACCCATAAATAGCCATGTGCCATCTGCACCCACTAATATCTCTGAACCCACTAATATCTCTGCACCCACTAATAGCCCTGTGCCATCTGCACCCCTAATATCTCGGCACCCACTAATAGCCATGTGCCATCTGCACCCACTAATATCTCTGCACCCACTAATAGCCCTGTGCCATCTGCACCCACTAATATCCATGCGCCATCTGCACCCCTAATATCTCTGCACCCACTAGCCATGTGCCACCTGCACCCACTAATATATCTGCACCCATAAATAGCCATGTGCCATCTGCACCCACTAATATCTCTGCACCCACTAATACCCCTGTGCCATCTGCACCCCTAATATCTCTGCACCCACTAATACCCTGTGCCATCTGCACCCACTAATAGCCCTGTGTCACCTGCACCCCTAATATCTCTGCACCCACTAATAGCCATGTGCCATCTGCACCCACTAATATCTCTGCACCCATAAATAGCCATGTGCCATCTGCACCCACTAATATCTCTGCACCCACTAATACCCCTGTGCCATCTGCACCCCTAATATCTCTGCACCCACTAATAGCCCTGTGCCATCTGCACCCACTAATATCTCTGCACCCACTAATAGCCCTGTGCCATCTGCACCCCTAATATCTCTGCACCCACTAATAGCCCTGTGCCATCTGCACTCACTAATATCACTGCACCCACTAATAGTCCTGTGCCATCAGCACCCCTAATATCTCTGCACCCACTAATACCCCTGCGCCATCTGCACCCACTAATATCCCTGCACCCACTAATAGTCCTGTGCCATCTGCACCCCTAATATCTCTGCACCCACTAATACCCCTGTGCCATCTGCACCCACTAATATCCCTGCACCCACTAATAGCCCTGTGCCATCTGCACCCACTAATATCCATGCGCCATCTGCACCCACTAATATCTCTGCACCCACTAATAGCCATGTGCCATCTGCACCCACTAATATCCCTGCACCCACTAATAGCCCTGTGCCATCTGCACCGAGTGGTAATGCTTCCTCTATTGGCAACTCTGAACCAGTTTCACGCACTGAAAACCCTGCATCAGTTGTAAACTATTAAAGATTTATAACTCATCTCGAAAGCTTTAAGTCACTGAAATTTCCATCCTGGAAAGTAATATTTCATATTCAAAGTATTTTCTGTGTAAAAGTTGCCGTACCTTGATGATGAAATTTACTGACTACACTTCCTTTAGCTCCGGCAAAACGCTGCGATTCTCAGATCTTTTTGGAACTGAATGACTTTATGTGAGAACAACACAAGTGAATAATTCATTTATCTTCCAACTAATTATTAACGAGGAGAATAGCGTGCGGTAAAAATATCTGGTTGAGTATTAAAATGTAGTCTTTATATTTTACTAGTGGCATTGTCAGCAAGTGTATAAATTAAAAATATTTCCCTAACACTTGCTTCCGGACCCCAGGAGGGGCTAATTTCTAACATAGAGAGGTTTAGGCGGCAGCCTCACAGAATTCTACTTCTGATTATAATCAAGTGAAAGAGTTTTGGGAAGACTGTTGGTAGTAGACATGTGCAAAAATCTATTTGGTCCAAATAAAACTCGTGGCAACCGTTGAACGAATCAATTCCGAATCCTTTTACCTGCAGTTTTACCTATGGAGTCTACAGGTAATATCGATTCAGAATTGACTGGTTCCCGTATCAACATGGATTTTATTCGGACAAAACTCTTCAAAAAAGTCTTGTTGGGAGTGTAGTGCGGAGAGAACGGCGATGGTGCAGTGTCTATACTAGCCCAGCACTATTTGGGTTTGTCTTTGAGGTAATGACCTGTGATCTCAATGTTTTCTGGGCTCAGTAAAAGCAAAATTGAATTGGGGGCACACTGGAGACATGCATATTGCAGGAATGGTGCTGCTGTAGTGACCAAAATATATACACAATACAGATTAAGGAACAGCGTACTCATAAAATACATTTCTAAATTGCATAAGGCAACCTAAAATCGCCTGTCGCAGCAAACAAATATGGGGATTCAGTTCCACCATATGGCCATATTATGTTAAACCCACTACTACTGCACAGTACCCCAATATTGGTGGGTCCTTCACTATTTCCAGCATGGGAGATAACTTTGCATTGTATGTTTATACTTAAAAGCACTATCACTTTAATTGTTTCATTAATTGCATTTATCACATTTC